GGTGTTGTTGGCCAAGCCCACCCCCTGGATGGGGACAGCCTGCTGCAGCAGGTTGGGCATGGCGATGAGGTTGCCCGTCCCTGCTCGGCTTGTGATGATCTGCTGGTTCGTGCCGGGGATGATCTGGAGCTGCCCAGAGGCATCCTGCTGCACGTTGACTTGGGTGGGGGTGGTGGCAAACTGGAGCTGCTGCCCATCAATGGTCTGGAACTGGGGAATGACTTGGTATTGGATGTTGGGAATGACGCCGGGCAGGCCCGTGAGCACCTGCTGGTTCTGCAAGTTGGAGGCAGCTGTGACCACGTACGGCCCCGTGCTCACAGGACGGCTTTTGGAGGGATCTCCGTTGCTGCCGTTGCTGCCCTGCTCCTTGGAAGGCGTCGGCGTGGTGGAGCCAGTGGAAATGATCTGCCAGCCGTTGGCCGACTGTGCGATCTGGGCAGCGGCGGCCGTCAGGTCCAACTCACCGCTGCCGCCTTGCTGGCCCTGGGAGCTGTTGGAGTTCTCGTTGGGAGACTCAATCCTGCTGCAGGTGGCAGCCAGCAAAGCCAGCGGGGACGGCTGTGACTCCTGAGAGGAGAGAGGAGGAGTTAAAGGAGAGGGAGGCGGCCCTGTGGGCAGGCTGAAAATAAAAAGAGGAAAAAAAAAAAAAAAGAAAAAAAGGCAGGGAGGAGCATACTTGGAAAAGATAAACACTCCTTCCTGAGAAAACCCACGCACAGCCGGAAAAATACAACTGCCAGACACAGGGCTGTCAGGCCGGGACAGATTGAACCCACAGAGAAAAACCCCTCTGGGAAGGGAAGAAAGGGGAGGAAGGGAGGGAGGGAGTGCGTGAGAGCCTCTCCTGCCCCACTGCAGTGAGATCTCCCTGTAAAGCTGCAGGACAGCAGCTCCTGGGACGTGCAGTCACTCGTGGACACCCCAACCAGGAACAGGGCGGTGGTGTCACCCTTTTGGGGTCACAGTGACGATCCCTCGTGCTCTCTTCCTCTCCCCAGGGAAAGCAGGCTGCACAACACTCGGCTGAGTTGAGCAAACAGCGAGGCTGTGGACTTTGTGCCAGGGCAAGCAGAGCCAGGAAGCTGTGACACGAAGCGTGCCAGGGGCTGCACTCACTCACCTGGCCCTCCCCAGCCGGCGAGCTGCTGTCACTGCTGCCATCTCCTTCGCCCCTCTCGGGCGTTCCCTTCACTGCTGACATCTCCTCGGGACTCTCTGAATCTACATGGGCAGACAGAGAGGGTTACAGACATTTCCAGGCAGTGGGGTGAAGTGGGGGGGAGAGGAGGGTGAGGAGGGCACGGAGCAGGGCGCTGGGGGGCAGCTGGCAGCAGAATGGGTGGGGGGGGGGGAGGCCCCGCGGCCCGGCTCCAGCTTTGCTCTTCCCCACCCCCACGGGGACACTCCCTGCTCCCCCACCCCGTCCTCCGCCCCGGGGCCTCCCCGTTCCCCTCCCCGCCACCCCGGGAGCTCTGCCCAGACTCGGCCCACCCCCCTCGCCCTGCCCACGGGATTCCCCCGGGCAGATCCTCCCCCGGGCCCTAAGCGGGATCCTAATACCCACGGCTCTGTGCTGTAATCTGTCCCCTCCCCCCTCGGCAAACCCCTCATCACATTCCAACCTCCGCGTTTTTTT